TTTGTTGTTGCGTATCTTGAGAATTGTCTATTCGTGTCCTTAGCCTACTTTTTGATGGGATTATTTGTTTGTGTCTTGCTGATTTGCTTGAGTTTCTCGTAGATTCTGAATATTAGTCCTTTGTTGGATGCATAGGATAATTGACACTCCACATGTAGAAGAATGAAACTGGATCCCCATCTCTCATCTTATATAAAAATCAACTCAAGATTTATCAAAGCCTTAAATTTAAGACCTGAAACCATAAAAAATTTAGAAGATAATATCAAAAAATCACTCTTCTAGGCATTGGCATAGGTAAAGAGTTCATGACCAAAAACCCAAAACAAATGCAACAAAACAAAGATAGATAGAACTTACTGGAGACGACTTTGAACTGACATCTCAAAGATCAAGTGTCAGTGATTGGTGATTTTCTATTGTTCTTCCTGAGACTGAGTGGTGTCTCCTCGACATCATTTTAAATCACCGAGGGCAAAAATACCTTAGTAAGCCCCAGGGGAAACAAAGTTACTCCTAAACCATGGCAATTATTTTTTAGTTGGTTATTTTTGACTACCTGAAAATTAGCCCTATTTAGGGAAATGAAGTTAGAAGAAGGCTTAGTGGAATATCTAGAGCTTGGGTACAAGTGATAAGCCTCAGAAAAAGCATTATAAAAATTATTAGCTAAGAGTAAGGGTAAATGATAGAGTCAGGAGTTGGACCGAGACTGTTCAGATTCCATGCTCATTATCTTTCATCTACACTTACTTTCTCTTAAGTGAAAACAGAATCATAGACTAAGTTCCTATTTTTAGCACTAACATTATTATCATGCTCAACACAAGACGGCCCAAATATATTTCTAGGAGTTAGGCATGTTGCAAAAAAAGTGAAAATGACAGATATGACATGCTGCTTCCAGATTAGCTATTTTCTTCCATCTCCTTCATGGGACATAATTTCTATATATGGGCAAAGCCTATCTTTGTATCCAGTCCATCAGAAGTAGCCCAGCTAGTCAGCAAAGCTCATATGCTAAAGAGACAACACTTACACAAGAACAATTCATGGTTCAGAGCTGATTAATCACACCTAATTAGCTGGCCTACTAATTGATCCCAGAGGCTATCACCATTTGACCTCTGATAAAAGGGCTCAATACTTTCAAACTCTTCTGGAGACAAATGACTAGAAGCTCCATTGGTTGAAACCACATAATTCAATTAACTCATTTAGTGAATTCAAAGGTTAGTCAAACCATTTAAATGCATATTGAGCTTCAAGAAGAAATTGACTTGAAATTTATATTTTTCTTGTCTTTTGATAAATACTGTCTACATTTATGTCCAAACTTCAAGAAAAATTAGCATAAAATAAGGTTGGTCCTGATCTATACTGGGATTTATTCCTTCTTGTATTTCGTTCCTTCCTTTATTTTTTTCTTTCAATTTTTCCCTCTTGTTTAATTTTCAATATCCTGCAAACCCACATTTTTTTCCTAATAAGAAGGGTCTAGATTCTTTCATCAATCTATGAAAGGACTTGAATGTATTATCATCCAACATTACAATATAAAAAGGTAAAGAATAAATTGTCAAAATATATTACAGATAATGGATCAATATTTTTAATATGTAAAAAAAATCAGTGAGGAATTTTAAATACATAATAGAAAAAATGAGAAAATGTATATTAATATTTCACTTGATTAATAATAAATGGAAATAGCCATGAAATATATAAAATATATCCTTTTAAATTCTTATCAAAGAAGTCCAAATTAAAGCATCAGTAAGACCATACTGTGTCAAAGGGCCAAGTCACTTTAAGCTTTTCCTGCATTAACAAGTAACCTGGTACAAAGATTCTACCAATTTGCAGAGCAACCAAAAATATAAATAAATTTCAGTTTCCCACATAAGGTTAAGTATGTATGGACATGTGGAGATGTTTAATATTTTTTTTCAATTTTCAAGTACCAAATAGTATGCTACAAATGACTGTACACAACATGATAACATTTCAGGAATTATAGGAATTAAACCAATAATTTATATATATAGGCTAAAGAGACTGCAAAGAGCTGATAGTGCTACTTTCTCTATGATGAAATTACAGGTATTTTAAAATTTATTCTATTTAATTGAATCTAATATTTTAAATGGGTAAATATTACCTTGAGAATATGAAAAGTTATGCTTTTTTATTAGAGGATGTGAAGAAAAAGCCAGTGTTAATGTTGACAAACTGATATGGTTTGACTCTATGTCCCCACCCAAATCTCATCTTGAACTGTAGCTCCCATAGTTTCTATAGGTTGTGGGAGAAACCCAGTAGGAGATAATTGAATAATGGAGGTGGTTTCCCCCATACTGTTCTCGTGCTAGTGAATAAGTCTCAGGAGATCTGATGGTTACACAAGGAATTTCCTCTTTCACTTGGCTCTCATTCTCTCTTGCCTGCTGCCACGTAAAACACGCCTTTCCCCTTTTCGTCATGATGTGAGAGCCTCCCAGCCAGGTGGAACTGTGAGTTCATTAAACCTCCTTTTCTTTATAAATTACCCAGTCTTGGATATGTCTTTATCAGCAGCGTGAAAACAGACTAATATACAAACATCTCTAGAACTGTGTCTGGTTTTGCTTCACTGTGGTTTCACTGGCCATCTCTCACCTTCCTCTGTCTGACCTTCCACTTTTCATCTGGTTCTGTACAAGGCCTTGGATTTTCTACCCAGATCCTTCTAGATTTTCAAAAACATAGACTCAGCATCGACCCTGTGAACAATCTAGGCTGTCTCTGCTCTCCCATATTTCTCAGTGTTGATCCCCTAAATTGCCTTGGTCGCTCTAAAATCAGTGGAGCATCACACTCAACAACTGGAAGAAAAACATGAAAACAAAGCACCAAGGAGAAAACAGTTACTTAATTTACTTTCTGACTCCACAGAGAAATATTGTGCCTTGGCTCGTTCAGCAGAACTTACATTCAAGAGTAAAAGGTACCTGTGTAATCTTGGGACTCAATATAGATATTTTTTCCACAACTCAGTTTCATTAAATTGGAACAAGCTGCCCCAGGATATTCAGAATCAACATATTCAAGAGTATAAATATGTTAAGTGCTTACTCTATTGGACACTTGGGCTTGTAGTCTTGTATTTATTCCTGACAACCACCTAGTAAGTTGGGCAGTATCTCTGTGGGCCAGTACAGCCAGGGAAGCTCAAAATTGTGAAGAGATTCAATTACTGTCACTGAGTAAGTGGCAAAATCAGAATTCTGGGGGGTCTTGAGACACTGTTTCTTTTCCCTACTCCACAAATAATTTCAGAATAGAGTTCAGTGTCAACATGGTAAACGTAAGGCTTATATGGCAGGAAAAAACAGTGTCAGCACTAATAGAATAAAAATAAGGGAAAAGCAGCAGCAGCTCAGGAGTCTTACAGCAAAAGCAATGAAGATGGGCCTCACAGGACAAGACTTCACAGAGGAGGGGATGAGACCCTGTTCCATTCTTCCCTGTATTTTGCTAGAGTCACTGTAACAAATTATCACAGACTGGGTGGCTTTCACAATATAAGTTTATTGTCTCACAATTCCGAAGTTTAGGTGTCCAAGATCAAGCTGTCATGAGGGTTGGTTTTGTGAAAGGAAAATATCTTGGGTTCTGAAAATCACTGAGCTAACAGGAAAATTCAAGTTGGGAACTGTTTAGGGCAAACCTGCCTCCCATTCTATTCAAAGATATCCCTCTGCACACTGAGATAAATGCATCTTATTGCCTTCTTTGGAAAGGTTAATCAGAAACTCAAAAGAATACAACCAGAACCTACAAAGAGCTCAAACAAATTTACAAGAAAAAAACAACCCCATCAAAAATTCGGCAAAAGATATGAACAGACACTTCTCAAAAGAAGACATTTATGCAGCCAACAGACACGTGAAAAAATGCTCATCATCACTAGTCATCAAAGAAATGCAAATCAAAACCACAATGAGATACCATCTCACAGCAGTTACAATGGTGATCATTAAAAAGTCAAGAAACAACAGGTGCTGGAGAGAATGTGGAGAAATAGGAATACTTTTACACTGTTGGTGGCATTGTAAACTAGTTCAACCATTGTGGAAGACAGTGTGGCGATTCCTCAAGGATCTAGAACTAGAAATACAATTTGACCCAGCTGTCTCATTACTAGGTATATACCCAAAGGATTATAAATCATGCTGCTATAAAGACAAATGCACACGTATGTTTACTGCGGCACTATTCACAATAACAAAGACTTGGAACCAACTCAAATGTCCATCAATGACAGATTGGATTAAGAAAATGTGGCACATATACACCATGGAATACTAAGCAGCCATAAAAAAGGATGAGTTCATGTCATTTGTAGGGACATGGATGCAGCTGGAAACCATCATTCTCAGCAAACTATTGCAAGAGTAGACAACCAAACATCGCATGTTCTTACTCATAGGTGGGAATTGAACAATGAGAACACTTGGACACAGGAAGGGGAACATCACATACCAGGCCCTGTCATGGGATAGGAGGAGTGAGGAGGGATAGCATTAGGAGATATACCTAATGTAAAGGACGAGTTAATGGGTGCAGCACACCAACATGGCACATGTATACATATGTAAGAAACCTGCAAGTACCCTAGAACTTAAAGTATAATAATAAATAAATAAATAAATAAGAATACAACCATGTGTCTCTCACCTACCTGTGATCTGGAAGCCTCCTCCTGCTTCAGTTATCCCGCTTTTGCTTTGGGTTGTCCCACCTTTTTTGACCAAACCGATGTTCATTTTACATGTCTTGATTGATGTCTCATGTCTCCCTAAAATGTATAAAACCAAGCTGTGCTCTGGCCACCTTGGTCACATATCATCAGGACCTCCTGAGGCTGTGTCACGAGCACATGTCCTCAATCTCAGCAAAATAAACTTTCTAAATTAACTGAGACCTGTCTCAAATTTTCGGGATTCAGTTTCTTCCGAGGCCTCTCTCCTTGGCTTACAGCTGGCTGTCTGCTGCCTGTGGCTCCACGTGGGATTGCTTTCCTGTGTATCAGTTTAAATTTTCTCTTCTTCTGAGGCATATTGGATTGGGGACAACCCTAGTTGTAGCCAGTGGGCTGGTTCAGGTTCTTGACTTCACTGCACAAAAGAATTTGAGAGTGAATCCAAAATAAAAGTAAACAAGAGAATTTACTGCAAAGGGAAAGTGTACTCTGAGAGCTGGTCAGAGCGGGCTGCTGAAAGGTAAGATGGCACTGACTGACACTGGGGAGTGTCCCTTTATGGGACGCTTACAAGATTATTTATAAAGTGGGTGGGAAGGGTTGTTGCTATTAAGCATGTTCTGGGTGGTCCTCCGGATGCACATGTGCTATTGATGTACATGCCAGTACATACATCGCATGTCACATTGGCATCTTAAGTCTCCACCCAGGGGTGTGTGTTTTACTATTATAATGAGCAACAGGTCAACCCAAGGACATTAATCATGGGTTTCTGTACTTTCATGAATTTGGAGATTTCCCCTTCTCTTCTTCCACCTCCTTGCTGCAGGATACTCTAACCATAAGCCCACGATGTGGTTTGTGCACTGTTGGGCAGTTTTTCCTCTCCATCTATTTGGCAACTTTGTTCCCCTTTAAGGGAGGTTATGCCCATCCTATCTAATCCACCTCATAGCGACTTCTTGTTAACATAAGTACATCTTTAAGGAACATATTTCCAAATACAGTTGCATTCTGAGGTGCTAGAGGTTAAAAATTTAATATATGGCTTTGCATCTTCATAGCTGGAGGGAGGTGAGGGATAAAAGACTACAAATTGGGTACAGTATATATTACTCTGGTGATGGGTGCACCAAAATCTCACAAATCACCACTAAACAACTTAATCATGTAACCAAACACCACCCGTTCCCCAAAAACCTATGGAAATAAAAGATTAAATAAATAAATAAATATGCAAAAAGCCCCTTTTCAAACAGAAAAGAAATACTTACTTTTAATAAAAAGTAAACAAAAATTGAAAAAAAGATTAATATATGAATTTTGAAGGAACCCAGTGCAGCGATGACCCTCTTTTTCTATGTAGGAGAAGATGTAGTATTTCTAAGATTTCTCTTTTCTAAAGAGATTTTCTGTGACTTCATCCTCAGTACATGACAGTTGATGAATCACCTTATCCATAAAATAAACATTTAATTACATCTAGATAATTGTATTTTGTGTGAATCATTTTAGACTGTATTATATATCAGTATTATTTATTTTCAGTCTCCCTCATCATTTTTGTAATTCTTTCAGGATATGTTATCTTCAGTACCTAAAATGGTGCAAGTACACAGAAGAGTTTGTCATGAATAGTTCTGGACTAAACCAGTACAAAAGAAAATAATTTGCAGTGAAACAAATGGAAAAATGTTCAAAAAGTCCCAAGGGAACTATGAATCCTTCTTTGAATTCATCTGGCCTCTTGCGGACATAGGCCTCAGAAAGCTAAGAGTGGACATCAGAATAAAGGATAGTCATTAGTAGAAACTCAAAATCAAAGAGGTAGGCCCTATGTGCTATGTACAACTCGAAGACAACGACCATGTTTATTTTGTTTATACATAAATATTCAGAATCGAATATAAGTCATAGAAAATGATGTTTTTGCATAAATAAATGAATGAATAAACAAATGAAGTGAAAGAAAAATACAAAGAGAATCAGAGAGGTAGGGAGATTTTTGGAAAGGCAGCAGTAGATAGTCTGTGTTCCTAATGAGCTGTATTCATCCTTATTGTTGCCAAGTTCTCCCACCTTGTTCGGAAACATTCCAAAGTCTGAGAGGACATGACTAACCTAGATAATCTTTGCAACATTTTAGGAGGTGGCTGGGTGAATGATTTGAAATCTTGCCTTCCTCGTCCACTTTATTTTAATCATATGGACCTGATCTAGGCTTCAGGTTTCTGAAATAAGCACCCTGAAAGAGTTCCATGGCGATCTCCCTGGAGATGGAGTGAGAATTGTTAATACATCTTTGGAAAGAACGACTCCCAGACACTGTAACTCACATTAATGTGCAATATTCCCGACCGCTCACTCTGCTGATGGGAATGCAAGGTACTCACCCTGGTTTATTATAAAAGCATTAACATGTGTACTGTTGGTTAATCACAATGACACTTTCATCTGTTTTGGGGGTTTTGAATTGTTTTTGTAGAATTTAATAATATTCTTTTTGAACTTTACCTTTTAGAAGAGTCTAGGACATTTGGGACTGGCTTCAAACAACACATGTCTTTGGCATACATATTTTGGCAGATAAAAGTTTCCATTCCAAAACTCCTTTCAGAACCACAAAACTTTATTTAATCAGCATACACCTACTGTGTGCTGGTTAATGGGGAAAATATGTAGAATGTGACTGCTTGCAATCTCTCTCCAAAGTTTCAAAACAATATGATGAGGGAAAGAAAAAATGTATCATTTAGCAGATGAGAAAACTGAGGTTTAAGATTTATTGGTGAGCTCAAGTGCATTGCACATGAGTCTTCTTTCTTTCTTCTTCACTGTCTTGATACTTAGACAGTCCGTTGGATGACTAGGGATCACTTTTCCATAAAAACTTGGGCTTTGTTCTTTGCTTTTATTTATATTAATTATATTATATTATATTATATTATATTATTTATTTTTGAGATGGAGTCTCGCTCTGTTGCCCAGGCTGGAGTGCAGTGCCGCAATCTCGGCTCACTGCAAGTTCCACCATTGGCGTGAACCCCCGGGTTCACACCATTCTCCTGCCTCAGCCTCCCAGGTGGCTGGGACTACAGGAGCCCACCACCATGCCCAGCTAATTTTTTGTATTATTTAGTAGAGACGGAGTTTCACCCTGTTAGCCAGGATGGTCTCGATCTCCTGACCTCATGATCCGCCTGCCTTGGCATCCCAAAGTGCTGGGATTACAGGCATGAGCCACCATGCCCGGCCTATTTATATTATTATATCGATATAATCATATGATGCTTGTAAAGTTGGAGGTCAGAGAGGAGTTGACTTGTGGGGATTCATTCCTTGCCATTTTCAATGAGTTATAAAGGGATCTGCAACTATGTAACACTTCAGATGTTGTCTAACATCTCAATTTACCCCTTTTCCTGCCACTCTCAGTTAACATGTAAATTTACAAGTTTGTCAGATTTCAAAGAACTTTATTTACATCTCATTTGAGTCTCACAGCTTTTTTATTTTGACAAGACAGATAGAACTCTTCCTCTAGGTTTTAGCTGAAGATGCTGACATTCAGTGATACTGACATTCAGTGAGTATTAAATGATTATTCATGGACATAGGATGAAATCTTCAATTTAGTAGTGGTAAGTCCTTTTTGGATATAATGTTTAAAATGTTGTTTTAATGCCTATATAACAGGAAACCCTCTAATTTGGGAGTTGGCAATGTTCTCTGTAAAGGGATAAACAGTAAATACAAGCTCTCTGTTGCTATTATTCTGCCATTATAGCACAAAAGCAGCCACAGAATTCCATACAAATGGAATGCAACACGAACAAACATCCTGTACTCATGAAGGTTAACATTTTTACCTTTATGTACTTTCCACGTGCCTTTCAACGTTATTCTTTTGAAATAAGTTTTTAGCCATGTGAAATATAAAAACTCCTCTTAGCTGAAAGCTCATGCAAAAACAGGTAACAGGCCAAATACTACCTGTAGGCTGCACTTTGCTGACCTCTGATCTAAATCTTAGAGCTTTAACAGAGAATGCATCAGACTGAAAACCCCTGGAACATTTGGAGCTTACATTCTACTAAGGGTAAGTGAGGTTGAAAAGAAAAAAGTCCAACATAAAAGAAAACGTTCAGCAAAATCGAAACAAGTTAGAACTTAAGAAGAAAATGGTGAGTGTGTAGATGCCTCAGGGAGTGTATTAGCACGTGTCTGCATGGGTCTACTCATTTCTAGGGGAGATACTGGTAGGATAGCAAGGTTATTGAAAGCTTTAAGAATAGAACTAACCACGGGTGTGGTAGTGTGCACCTGTGGTCCCACCTACTCAGGAGGCTGAGGTGGGAGGATGACTTGAGCCTGGGAAGTTGAGGTGCAGTGAGCTGTGATTATGCTTCTGCACTCTAGCCTGTGGAGGCTGGAGGACAAAGCAGGACCTTGTCTCCAAACAAAACAAACAAAAACTATTCGGTCTAGCTAAAATTTAATTGTAAAATTTTCCCCTTCCTGTGCTTTGTTGGGCTTTGTGCACCATAATCACCGGTCATTACCCTGAATTTTTGTAAAAATCCACTATACATAGTGGGTTGTAATGAGTAGTGCTTTGTAGAATTGAAGGTAAAGGGGTTATGTTCCACATTTAGGTCAACACACAGTGACCAAGAAAGAGGAGCAGTCGCCTGAAGTGAGCTGTGTGACAGAATTCAGTAGAAGCTGAAAATCAGTGCTGAATAAATCCAGGAGTAAAGATTCCTTCATTTTACAATAAATCAAAAAAGTTAGACATTGGAATGGTAGTGGAGATTCCCATGAAATGTGAAAGGGCATGATTTAATTTTATATAAGACTACTGCTAATAGCTCAGCTGCATAGGAAATACTATTTTATATAGATATTTTCATTTAGATGCTCCTGTTTCAGCCTTTCAAAAGTCAATGAGGTGCTTGGTACAAATGTCTCACTTGTATATTACAGATAACTCTGTCATTATTACTCTGGGACTCAAGTATTTCCACTGGAATGTAAGCTCCATGAAGCAAGGTATTTTCATTTTATTTTGTTTGTTGTCTGTTTTATTCACTTCTCTATTCCCAGTGCCTTAACCAGTATCTAACACAGAGAAAATACTTAATAAATAATCTTAAATGAACAAAAGATAATGGATGGATAGAAGAATAAGTAAACAGATTAAGTGAGGGCTCTGACAGAAAATGCCTGAATTGTTGAATTTTGAGTTAAAATGAGGGAAATTTTCAGGCCTTTAAATGGCGTAATAAATGAGAAGTCCTGAATATGTATTTTCTATGAGATTGCTTCTGTGCCACAGAAGATCATCTTTTGAGATTTTGTAAAAGGATGATGTTCTCTAAGGAAGTTATGTCTCTTCTTGTGTAGAATGTATCA